GGCTCCGCACAGAACGCTGGAGACGGAAGCTTTCTGCAGCAGCTCACCTTGCTCTGCACCAGGGAGAGGAGGACCTGCTCCATGGTGTCGGCCACCTGTGGGACGGCGGCCTGCAGGTGACCCACGATGACCCCGACCGCCACGCGCGAGAGCTCGTAGCTCAGGCTGGTGTTCCGGCGCACCAGCTCGATCAGCTCTGCCCCGATGGTGCTGGGCACGCGCCCCGCCACGCCCCCACAGGGACCTGCCTGGCTGGGTTTAGCGGGGTGGGCGGGGCTGTGGGCGGGGCTGGTGGGCGGGGTCTGGAAGGCGGGGGGAGGGGTGGGGCTGGGCTTGGACTCGGCTGGGTCCCCGGGGCAGGTAGGTGGGGAGGCAGTGCAAGGCCGAGAGCCAGGGAGAAAGTGTGGCTGTGGGGCTGCCTGCTTTTTAGGGAGAGGGGGTTCGGACTGGGACTGAGGCAGTGGGGAGGCTGGCTGCTCAGTCTCTGGCTGGGGAGGCCACACAGAGCTAGGGGGGTTCGGCGCCGGGGCTCTTGTGCGGCTGGGAATGGGTGGGGGGGTGGTTGCTAGGCTGGGGAGGCTGGTATCTGAGGAGGGAGGGGAGTGGGTGGAGCCTGAGTCCAAAGAGGCGGAGCTCACAGAGGGGGATGGGCCGGCGCTGGCAGAGAGGGCGGGGCTAGCGAGGATTGAGGAAGTCCTGGAAGGCACCTCTGGTTCTGAAAAGAAGAGATCGGGTCACTGCCGGGCTCTCCTACACACCAGGGGGAGAGGAGGATGTATATTCGTCCAGATAAAACCAACAGGCAGTCAGGTAGATGAGAGAGAAAGAGACAGGCTGCAAGACAGAGAGACGGACGAGAAGGAGTTTGGGGGGGGGGGACTGACCTGGCCTCCGCGCACCTCTGCGTTTCTCCGGGGGCGGCGGGGTGATGGGGGCTGCTCGGCGAGGCTGGGGGGGCACCTGGAAGGCAGAGAGACGCTCAGTAGGACACGGTTGCGCCGTGCCAGAGCCCTATGTGCCGGTCTGTCTGTGGAAGCATGCCAGGCTATCAGCGCGTCGCTGTGTGGGTGTCATTAGCGGTCGGGAGTCACTTCCAGGGGTTGGAGTCTGGGTCCACCAGTGTATTGTCAGCGCCCAGGGCAGCAGTGCAATCAATACCTGGTACAGCCCCTCGTCTCCACACCCCTTGTCCGGGCTGTGTGCGATCGGCTCGCTGGCCTGCCGCCCGTACGCCCGGCTCAGCCCGTTGGGCGGGTGCGACTGGCCGAGGGCGAGGTCGCTGGCGGAGGAGGGAAGCACGCGCTTGTGGTTGATGGGGGGCGGGCTCCTCCGGGACAGAGTCTCCTTCCTGTGGTGAATTAACTTCCTGCGGCCAGACACACGGTACATGCTTAGCACGTGCTGCGACACGCATGATACGCATGACATATCACCGCACCACCTGAGAGGACCTGAAATAATAGACGATAAATCAAAGTCTGTGAAAGAGCTGCGATTTCTTTCTCAAAGGTCACACAAGAGCAGAGGCCACTTGGGCCATCTGATCCATTGAGAAGTCAGGAGTTTCCTGATCCCAGGATCCCATCCAGCCGTTTCTTGAAAGAAGTCAGTGTACCGGCTTCAACACAATGGCCGGGCAGCTTGTTCCACAACCCCCCCACCACCACCCACAAGCCTAAACCCACGTAGTTTCCACTTGTGCCCTCTGGTCCGAGTTCATGGAAGAGCAATGGCTCTGCTGGCTCCCTGCTGTCACAGGCAGACAGGCAGGGCAGCAGAGATAGGGCTGCCAAAGTAATGGCAAACAGACACACAACGTGCCCTGGACAAGGTCCAGGAGGAGAGAAGGAGACAGAGGAACAAAGCTCTACAGTGTGTCCTTGGAGGAGGGGGAGGGGGGCAGTGACCTACTGCAGCATGTCCCTTTGCTCCAGGTTGTATTTGCCCCCGTTCTTCATGGCCGAGTTGTGGATGGCCTCAATCGCCCGGTCAACGGACTGCAGGACCTCATCGTGCTCGGGGGTCTGAGATGGATAAAGGGGCGAGAGGAGAGAAGGGAAGAGGAGGAAGGAGAGGCGGTTACTGGCTTGCATCTCCAAAGTCACCTGCCAGCTCGCACTGCGCACAAGCTAGCGATCGCTCAGGGGCGCCCAACTGGACTCCCAGAGTGAGGCAGCCACTCCAGCCGACTCACTCAGGGCTTGACCACTAGACCGACACGATATCCACCCAGCGGAGCCCTCCGAGGAGCTGAAGAGTCCGGTCAGTTAGCAGCAGCGCTGCAGTAGCCCTGGCTGACTCTCGCATGAAAAACACGCAGCTCTGACCGTCACCACCAGCCCAAGGGAAGAAGGGGGTGTCCATCGGCAGAGACGGGGAGGTCCTCAGGAGACAGAGGCTCCAACAACACTCGAGAGCACACAGCCCACAAGACAGGTCCACAAGGAGGAGATATTTAACAGGAAGGGGGAGTGAGCTGCCCCCCATCCCCTAAAGCCACGGCGCTTCCTGCAGCTCTGCTGTCTGTTCCTTCCTGAGAGGAAGGACACGCTGTCACGGAAGAAGAACTGCTCAGGAAACTCAGAAGCCAAAAACAAGCCGACATCCAAACATGCACATCAGTGAGAGAGCGCAGTCTGCGAAGGCAGCATCCCCGCAGACCTTCAACGGGAAGAAACAGATCTTGCCTTCAGCTGTGGTTACGCCAAAATGCTTTTATTTTTAAATCTGCTTTTCTTTACACTTTGTTTTGGCTCGAGCTGCTCTGCAAATAGGTTACGCTGCGGTTCAAAAGATAATCCAGCTCACATGTAAGACCACAAAGCCTGGAGTGGCTCGGACTGCTGTGCAGCAGGAGACTGACCTGTCAAGCCCTTAACTAATCCAACCCAGAGGAAAGCCAGGCCTGCAGTTTCTCAGTGCTCCGCAATGTCAGTGGGAATCTGATTTGTTACCCTGCGGTTTGTATTTAATTCCCAGTGCTATGCCAATCAGTGTCACTGTATACTGCACTGCAGTGTTTCTGTGGTTCCCAAAACCCCCTGGGGGAGACAACCTCCTCTCTTCTTTCCTCCCTACCTCTCTCCCTTTCCGGTCCCCTGCTACCTTTACCTCTCTTGAGCCAGACGGCGTGGGAGGAGGAGCGCAGTGGGATTATCCAGAATCTCCATAATGAGATCATTGAAGAGGACGGGGCTCCCTCTGACTCTCGGAGTCTGTGCAGCCACAGCGAAGGAAACTCCCCGTGCTGAACAGCGGGGCACATCTGCCTGGACCGGGAACCGCAATGCTGCTGGCCTGGCTGCAAAACAGCCGCTCCAGAAGCCCTTCCCCACCGCCGACGTGCACTCCGGGCGAAGCCAGAGTGAAAGACTCACCCCATTTGAGTTAGCTGGGCTGTTCTCCACTCCACCAGGCTCCAGTGCACTACAGCACTCTGCTCACTGCACACAAGCGCTCTCTCACACACACAGCGGCACTGTTAAGGAACTCGTTGTGGCACAGTTCTATCACGGGGTGATCAGCACCTGCTGACCTGTGTGCTGAACGAACCTTGTGTTAAAACACCCTCTTTTTTCATTAACCTCAAAAGCACTCTCTATCGTCTCCACGCGGATACGGGAACTGCTCCAGAGCGGGTTCGGACACATCGCATTGGCGTTCGGCCGCTCCGCCAGCTGACCAGGCCGGCCGGAGAACCGCAGCCAGCTGCGTCTCGCTCGGCTCCCACGAGAGGCGCCTGCTCACGCCTGCTCACGCCTGCTCACGCCTGCTCACGCCTGCTCACGCCTGCTCACGCCTGCAAGTAAATCCCCACCGCCAGCTCTCATAGCACAGGAGCCGCCATGCAGAGCCGCGCCGCGCCCACGGTCCAACGGGCTGAGCTGTGTGTGCGAGGCCCATCCCTTCCCTGGCGGAGTGAAGGAGCAACAGGGGGAGTTTTCTTCAAGGGAGCTGAAGAGTTTTAATGCAGAAAGCACAACGTTGACACTTTTCACTCCGAGCCTCCTAACCCTAAGGCCTTCGGGGGGGGGAGGTGCCCTGTCCTTGCACAACCAAAACAAGCTGAACAAAGCAATCAGGGCCAGGGGCACGATTACCAGCACATTTCTTGGACTCGGCGACAAGATATTATTGATCTTGCACAGGAGGTCTTAGATGACCTCTCATCCACTCAGGTGCCAGATCCCCTGTAGATCACAAGAGAGCATTTACATCCTTTTTGCCGAAAGACATTCAGTTGATGAACAATGAAAGAATTGTTGGCAGGTAGGGACCTTCTTTCATTATTATTGCTTGTAGACTGTTTACAATCCAATTGCCTGTTTCTTCAATCTTTCGGTACTGGAAGAGTTCCGATATCGAGTGATGTGGTTGAATTTTGTTTTGTATTATGGTATTGTACCGTCGCTGTACTGTATTATCGTCGTATACGTTATATATTTATGAGCTCTTGATCTGCAAGACAAATTCCCTTAGGGGCAATGAAGGTTAGTTCAATTCAAATTAATTCCATTCGAGTACAGCTGGAAAGCCCAGTCTCTGCTTTTTCTTGTGTTACTTGTCTGTATCAACACCACATTCGGTTTTATTATATCTTTTTTTTATCCTTTTCTCATATACCTTTATTCAGACAAACACACGTTCTTGACTTCAGCTCTCTGCTTTACTTTTCAGCTGCAGGCCGACTGTAAATTACCATCGTCAAGTCATGCACCCACTCCCTATCCACCCACCCGCCCACCAGTCTCCCGCAGGGCAGAGCTGCTGGACCCCGTTAGTGGATTAATTAATTATCCTCCCGTTCTGAAATAGACTGTGCTGTGCATCACAGCCCCACAGGGCCTCAGAAATCTCTGCAATCCCCACAGCTCAAATCACCAGCACTAAAAATACCGGGCCTCAGGGTCACATTAACACAACACAGATAGCCCACCACAGGCCCTGGAGGCCCAGGTCGGCTCTGTGCTGGTTCTGTGCCGGTGGGGGGTGGCCGTTTCAAGCCCGCTGTCTAAAACCGGTCCACTCCAGCTTCACATTCCGGTCTCCATCCAGCAGAGCCAAGCCCAGGGCAGACTAGCCCAGCCCACTTTACTGCAGCCTCTTCCCAGGAAGGGCGGCTCAGCCCGGCAAAACCCCCGTCCCCTCCTCTGCAGCCGGTCTCGTTCCCAGTCCGTTCTCCATCGGCGGCTGCAGCCCAGCTCACTGTAGCCAACGGGACAGGGTCAGCCAGAGGAGGGACAGGACAGGACAGGACAGGAACGGGCTGCAGACTACAGAGCAGCTGCAGCTCTTCCTATCAATAACCTCATTGTGGGGAGACAGCGAGGGGCTGACTGTGGCCTAGACAGCTGTGGAGCAGATCTCTGCTCATGGCACGCGCGCGCAGTGACATTCGTGCATCTGGGCACGGTTTTATTCAGAGCCACTTATCAGCCAGGAAGCAAGGGTGCATGAAAAAGGGAGCACATTATAATATGAGCACAGAAAACAGGAAGCTGTTGAGAGCCAGGAGGCTAGGCAGTGCTGAGGGGATTTAGTGCTCATCTCACTGAGCAGACAGGGTATAGAGATACAAGGGCACAGCCAGTCACAGGCCTCTGGGATCAGGTATATGCTGAAGAGAGAGGTTGTGGGGAGGGGGGGCGGGCGAGTCCACGGTTCTGAATGTGGCAGATTAGTTTTTCCACCCCTGGGGGTGGGGGGACAACACACACTCTCTCGTCCACTCGTGGCCAGTGTGCTGACAACACGAGCAAGAGAGTTGCAATAAAAAAAAACTTGAATTACTTCATCGCTTTGAGTGGACTAACCTGGCAGCCGACAGCTTGGAGGATCGATACAAACTGAATCACCGCTGTAGTCTTCAACCGAAAGCCATTAGCGCTGCCTAATCAATCCTAATTAAAAACCTGCCAGCCCACGAGCACAATGATGAGATAATATGACTGACTGTTCAGAGACTGGGCAGCTAAATACCTGAATGAGCAAAGACTGCAATCAAGTTAATCGAATTACTGAGCAACGCTATTATTTGAAAAACAGACCACATTCATAAATGAATGTGAATAACTGAATTATTCAGGACTGAATAACCACACTGCCGATTACCGAGCAAATAACTAAATATCCAAAAACTCAATGATTCAGCAAATGAACAAGGCAGCGCAGGAACTGTGGATTTTAAATCATCACGCAACAGTGCGACTAAATAATCTCCTCTTCCCACTCCACTGATTACGGCTCTTCGTCAGCGTTTAAAGAGCCAGTAGATAAAAGAGATTATTTACGCAATTTGTGGAAGAGAACAGAAGATATCAAATAAAAAGGAATTTGCTGGAATCTCTTCAGCGTCTCGGGGTTTAACGTTTTAATCTTTTGCACAAAGCCGTCACGCCGGGAGACTCTCGCCCTCTGGTAAATACAGAACCCAAATGCCTTTGACATCCGTCTCTCTCGCTCTCTCGCACAAATGTGATTTCTATCCTCTCCTCCTAGTCCGTTTGTCACAGTCAGATTAGAGGAGATTGAGCCTGGAGCACAACTGTTATTGAATTCTGGAAATAATACCTACAGAGTCTGCTGCTGTCCTCGGAGTTGTTCATTCAGACGTAACGTAAGTCCATCTGGTGAGAAGCATGAGCTTCTAGAAATTCCCTCTAGGGTAACCTGCTCATCCCTCATGCTGCCCCCTGCAGCCTTGAGCCCCAACACTGCACAGAGCACCCCACTATACTTTGAGCCCCAACACTGCACAGAGTACCCCACTACACCATGAGCCTCGACACTGCCCCATGCTGCCCTGAGCCCCAGCAATGCACGAGTACCCTCCTGCCCCATGAGCCTCAACACTGCCCCCTGCAGCCTTGAGCCCCAACACTGCACAGACACTGCACCCTGAGTCCCATCATTGCACTGAGATCCCCACTGCACCATGAGCCCAAACACTGCCCCCTGCAGCCCTGAGCCCCGAGCCCCAACACCACACAGAGCACCCCGACACTGTACCACACCCTGACTCGCCCGCTGTGCTGAGCACCGACGCCGTCCCTCACTCCGAAACCTGCCAGAGGGAACCGACACCAGGATGCTGAACTTGCCCCTCGCCAGTCTTCCGTCTTCGCTTACCGTCCCGGCTGCTCTCCAGAGCCTGCGGCGCAAGGACACAGACCGGACAGCAGCCGGGCCGGCGGGAGGACCGTCCAGACTGCGCTCTGCAGACCCAAACACAGGTTGGGGGGGTGCCCCCCAGTAACTCAAACTAGGGGTTCACCGCACAGCTCGCTTGCTGTTTTTTCGTGTTGTTTTTGAAGGGGGGTGCTGCATTATCCCATGCACAGCGCTGCAAGATCTTACCGGATTCCATCAGCCATCCTGACCAGCATTGACGCGTCTGCCCGGCATGGTGAAATCAATCACAATCATAACAACAGCAATAACACTGACACCCCGCGGGACAACTACAGCGAGCTAATTAAAGACGAGTCCGTGTGCCCCCCCGGAACCCCAGCTCTGGCCCGACACCCCCACCTTCTCGGACACCCGTGCGCGGTGCCGGAGGGTACCCCCCCCAGCCAGCCCTCGGTGGCGACCCACCTGAATCTTCTCTATGTACGAGGTCGGGATGTAGCCGGTCTCCCCCGAGCTGGACCGGGACCCGAGCCACCAGTGCTGGTTGCTCTTGTCCAGGATGAGGAAGGTCTCTCCGGCGGCGAAGGGCAGGGAATTGGGCTCCGGCGAGCGAAACGCGTACAGGGACCGATACATGCCGAGCCGTGCAATAAATAATAATAATCACACCTCCTTCACAGGCTAGCGCTCCGGGAAGCGGACAAGAGGGTAATTCTTCCCTCTGAAGTCCGGAATCCTAGTATACTCTACAGGGGGAGGGATAAACACTGATTTATTCCCGAT